TTCAGCCTGTGTTTCAGCCTGTGTTTCAGCCTGTGTTTCAGCCTGTGCTTCAGCCTTTGTTTCATCTGCAGCCGCTGGGCTCTGAGCACATTCAGGCCAGCTCACTCCCTCTAACTGGAGCCTGCTGGTGTGTCGGGGGTGCTCGGTGTGTTTGCGGGCTGGACGACAGCTCCAGGCCCTGAGCGGCAGCCTGCTGCGCTTCATGTGAGAGTCACGGGGCTCCAGCTGCTGCCACACCGCACATCCAGCCCAGTCCTGGGCTCTGAGAGGAGCCGGGCCACTAACGGGACTCTGGGGCCGTTCCACAGGGTCCTGTCACGGCTTCTGCTGCTAACGGGCATCCAGGAGATCATCTCAGGTTCCCCTCAAACGCTGTGTCCTTCATTTATCCACTCCAACCTGAAGCTTGAAGCCAATAACTTAGTTTTTTCTTAGTTCCTCACTGGACATTTCCCTCATTTTCATTGGACTTTGCCTCCCACTTTGTTGAAGGGAAAACCGTTTATATTAATCTCACATCATGTTTTAAATGATCTACACATTTTTATGAAGTCTTTGAAAGTCCCAAAAACAAAGAAATGTTCCAATCAGATCTCAGCTCGTGGATTTTTGTTTCTTTCCTAGAGGGAATTTTCCAGAAACCCTGATGATGCTGACAGCTGATTGGTTTGGTTTCTCCCCCCAGAACATCCCTGGCAGTAATGAAGCAGCTCAGGCCTTTCCACCTGAGAGAGAAGCTCAGGGAAAATGTTTCTCCCCGACAGAATGAAGGGGCCTTCTCTCTTTTTTTCTTTCTATGAGCGGACTGGACACCACAGAGGGGCCGAGGTCGGTTTCCTGACCCTCTGACCAGCAGCAGGTCCGTCACTGAGCAGGAGCTGAGGGTCTGAGGGTCTGGGGCTCAGAGAGGCCCGTGTGGAGCTGGGCCCGGGCCATCTGGGACTCCCCCTGCACAGACGCATTAAAGGGGATTACCTTAAACCCCTCATCCTCAGCCTCCATGGCCCTGCTGCTGAGCGGCCACTTTTCAAAGACCCAACCTTTGAGTTTCTTATTTTCTCATGAAACTCCAGTTGATTCATTTGGAGTTTATCAACCCCCCATCAACCATTCCTCCATCCACGCTGTCTTATCTGTACCTGAGATATTAGATACAGGTTCCATGTGTTTCATAACTGGCCATTAACCCTAAACGTTCCTGTGTGAGATCCATCAGAGCTCAGACTGTAACATGTAACATGTTAAGTAGATTCACTGTGACTTTAAAGATTTTGGGAAGAATAATCTGCTGAAAGGCCAAATTGAGAAGTTAATTTGCTTAACAGGAACAACTTAAACAACTCACAGCTACCAACTCACTGAGTAAAAGCTGACATTTCAGTTTTGGAATGTGGAGCCCCAAGAAATGTCTCTCCTTTAACTCCAGTAAAAGAACATGAAGGAGGATTTGTCCCTTCCTCTGAGCCACCTCACAACCACCTGAACCACCACCTGAACCACCACCTTAACCACCGTCTGAACCACCATCTGAACCACCATCTGAACCACCACCTGAGACACCATCTGAACCCCCACCTGAACCACCATCTGAACCACCACCTGAACCAATATCTGAACCACCATCTGAACCACCTGAATCACCACCTGAACCCCTATCTGACCCACCACCTGAACCACCACCTGAACCACCATCTGAACCACCACCTGAACCACCTTCTGAACCACCTTCTGAACCACCACCTGAACCACCACCTGAACCACCA